AACTAGAATGCTAACTTTAGTACACTTATAGTGATTATTTATTTTCATTTAATTTTTATTATTAACTTTTTAATTAATTTATTGTTTTTTATCCATCTAGCATTGCATTTACTTATTGTAAGCACTTCTTTTTTATTATTTTTTTATTATTTTTTTGTTTTTTTTTGTTTTTTTTTTTTACATTTTCAAGTTGCTTTAGTTTGTTTTCTATTTCTTCTATTTTTATTTATTGATTATTAATTCTTTAAACATGTTTTTCTATTTAATTTTCTAATTTCTTTATTTCGTATTCTTTTTGTTAAATTAATTCTTTGTTTTATTATTGTTTTTTCGCTTGTTCCTAGTTATTTATTAAATTCATTAAACTTTATATTTTCTAAATGTGCTCATTTATTAATTTTTCTTATTAATTTATCTAATTTTTGTATTTTTACTCAATAATTGCAAATTCTTAATATTTTTTTTCCATTGTTTTTACTTTTTAAATATTAAAATCTAGCTTAAATGTTATATCTTAAGCAAATTATTATAGTTATTATATTTATTAGTTATATTAAAATTTATTTTATTCCTAATCAATAATATTTAATTATTTTTAATTTAAAAGCATTTTTATTTTAGAGAATTATTCCTACCATTTTTAAACTTCATTTTAAACTTATTTAAATGAAGAAAATGTTTTTTCTAAATCGTTTCCTAATAATGCTAAATTATCTAATGTATTATTATATAATTTGAATTATTCTGAAGATTGATTAAATGATTATCTATATAAAAATATATATCAATATTTATATTTTAAAATAAAAAAACTTTTTTATTTATTTTTATTATGTTGATTGCTAAGTAAAATTATTTAATTTATTTTCTTCAAAACTTTAATTTTAGAAATATTTAATTGGAGTTTTGTAAAAAGTATTATATTTTTTTATTTTATTATGTTTATCAATATAATGATTTTTATAATCATATTATTATGAGTTTATAATTTCAGATTCAGATGGAAGAGTTTTATTTGTTTAATTTTACATTATTCCTTTTAATAAATCTATATTTCAGCTATTAATATTTTTTTTTAATTAATTATTTATTAAGCCTATTAAAAATAATTTTATAATACATATTATCTTTTAATTTAATGCTAAAAAAATTGATTACTATTAATAATTTATAAGTAAATTATTATTTAATTAAATTTTATGTACATAAACTAAGAGTTTTGATTTAATTAAATAGTATTTACCTTTTTCTAATAATAATTATAAAAATTATTATTTTAAAAAATAATTAAAATAAATAAAAAATAGTTATTAATATAAAATTTAATGGAGTCATGTATTTTATTATATACTATTTATATATATATATTTTTCAAAATAAAGTTTTTAATAATTTATCAATTAAAAATTTTGAGAACTTTTATTTGAAAACATAAGAATTTATTATACTTATTTTTTATTTTTATTGAAATATATTTTTATTTTAATATTATAATATAAAACTTCATAAAATAATCTCCCTCAAAAACTCGTATTTTTAGATTTAAAAGTTTATAAAAAGAAATTTTGTTTTTTAATTAAATTTTTAAATTGAGTTTATATCATAAATTCTCTAATAATATATCGATAAAATTTGATGTAAATAATATCATTTATAATAGATATTTTGTTTCGATATAATCGATTATTTTTTATCTAAAGAAATTTTTATAATCAATACAGTTACATAAAAAAATATTTATTCATTATAAAAAATTATTATTTATATAATAAATTAAATATTTGTCTTATAATTATTTATTTAAATATTAATTTAATAGGATATTTAAGAAAGCAATAGAAATATTAATCTTCTATTAAATTTTATTATTCTTAATGTATTTTATATTAAAAAAAGTAAAATTAATAATAAATATATAACCTTCTTAATAAATTTATAAATAATATAATAAACTTAATATAAATTATTACAAACAAAATTGTTTTTATTTTTAAAAAAAAATCTCACGAAGAAGTAATGCAAAAAGATAAAATATATGTAGACTATACAATAAAATTAAAATTTTATTGCATAGCTTATTTTTGGGATAAGGTAATAATTGATAAATTATATTATATTATATTATTTTAAAAATTTGATAGAAAATTTATTTAATAATAAAAAAAAAATATAATATTTTTAAATAATTAATTATATATTATATAAATATTTAGAATAATTCTAAATATATAAAATACATTTTTTTTGGTTTTTTTTATCAAATTATCTTTTCTTATAAATTTTCTTATTATATAACAGAATAATTTTATTTTTTGATATTTGGACAATATTTTTTTTAATATTCTATTACAATATTATCATTAGAATTAAAAATTCTATTCAAAATTCTTTTGCAAAAAATAAATATTTTTTTTTTAAATATATCTGAAACAATGTTTTTACTTTAATCCCGTTTCAGCCTTTTTATTTTTGTTCGAGTATAGGCTATTTTGAACTGCTTAAATATCTTCTAATATTCTATCAGATTCGGCCTTAGATTATAAGCTTATAAACCTATTTAATATTATGAATATAAATTTTTTTGTTTATATTTGTCTTTATAATATTTACTATTTTGTTTACTATACTATTTCATTTTAATATTTCATCTATTAAAAATTTAATTAAGCCTTTTTATTTTTTTAGATTTTTTCATCTAATTTGTTAGAATTAATTCTTTTAATTCGTTAATTTTTTTCTATTACATCTTATTTTTTAAGCTTTTTCTTTTCTTAAGCCAAATTTTAGCTCATAAATTATTATTACTAAATTATAAAAATATTTAAAAAAAAAATATATTTATATGGTTTACATATCTTAATTTTTAGTTAGATTCATACTAATCAAATTTTTACAAAAGAGAATTTTTCAAATGATTTTGTTAAGTTTTAATATAATCTAAATTTTCTTATATATGCTAAGTTTTTTTGTTTTTCTCTTCATTTTTTAATAATTCTTGATTTATTTATTATTACCATTTTTCTTTTTTTTAGATTTAAAAAAAATAAACAATTTTGAATATCTTTAATTTATAAATACTTTTTAATGCTTCACTTTTTTAAATTTATTTTTGGACAAAATTTGAGATGTTACTTTACATTATTATCTATGTTTACCTTTAAAATTAAATAAAATTTTATTATTCTTTGCATCTTTATTGTTTTGCTTTTAATTATTTTTAAAATTAATTTTCTAATAGCGTCTCTAATGAATTTTCTAGTTTTATAAATAAATTTCTTTTAAAAATTTAGCTTTTTTCAAACTCTTTTGAATTATATAAAGATTTATTTTTTTATATTTCTTTATATTTTTCCTTTTTTTATTCTATTGATATAATTTGAGATTCTTTTAATTTTTTTATTTCTCCTTACTATTATTTAAAATAAATCGAAAAATAAAAATAAATTTAGAAATATACATGTGATTTTTTATACATTTTAATAAATTTATTTTATAGTTGTTCGCTTATTTAGGTTTTTTATTATTGATACAATTTTTCTTATTATTGCAACCTTTTTTTTTTTCTATTAACATTTAAGAATATTAAGCTTTCAGTTCTATATTTTTCAATTCTTTACTTATTTTGCATTCCTCAATTTAAATTTATTTTGCCTTTATGTTTTCTTATATTTAATGTTTTTTTGTTCGTTAAAATACATGACTTTAGCTTCATTCTTTTTTATGTAAAAAATATAATTATTTATTTTGAAAATAATAAAAAACTTATTTTTATTTTTTTATTTTATTATATTTATCTATTTAATTTTCAATTGCTTTTTCATATTATTGAGATAATTATATATTTTATATTTAACTGAATATTTCTTTTTTTGAGTTTATAAAAAAAGGGCAACCAATATTTTTTTTATATAAAATTTAGTTTTATCTAAAATTTTATTGAAACTATAATTTTTTAAAATTTATGTTAATAAACTTTAATATAGAAATATTACGATTTTATATTTGTATTAAAATTAAACTTTTTCAAATTTTTATTTTAATTATCCATAATTATACATGTTTGATTTTCTTTATTATTATTAGAATCTAAATTACAGCTAATATTATTTAAATTATTAATTTATGATAATTTTAAATTAGATTAGTTTCCTAAAATTGAAGTGATTCTTCTTTTGATTTAATCTTCTTATGTTTTTTGTATATTCAAGCTTTATTAAAATTCTTTTTGTATTATATTTTTTCTTATTTTCAATATATCTTATAAATCTTCTATATATATTGTATTTTAGTTTGTTTATTTTGTTTATAAGAAAATAATAATAATATATAATATACTATTTAACCTTTCTGTATAATGATTAAACCTTAATTACTTTATTTATTCAGGTATCCTATGATCTCCAAAATCATTTAATTATCTTATAAAAATAAATAAATAGTCAATTTTTTAATATTTTTTTAGATTTTACTTATGCCATAATTATTATATATCTATTCCTAATAGTTTTATTGCTTTTAGAGTCCTTGGGCTTTCAAAATTTAATGTATAATATTTTCCATTACACATACCTTATATAATTTAACATGATTTACAATGACTTCTATTTATATTTTATTTAGTGTTATTATTTTATTATTAATAGAAATTAGTTAAAGAATTATTAAAATTAATAGCTTTATTATTATTGATGTTTAAATTATTTGTAAAAACGCATGAGTTTGATTTTGTTTTTTGAATATTTTAGTTGTTTTCCATTTTTTTATTTGATTGATTTTACTTATTATTAAAATTTAATTTATAACAGATATTTATTTATTTTTAAACTATTCTTTTTTTCGCTTTTAAATTTAAAAGGATTTTTATATTGAAAAATTTTTAATTTTAAAAAATTTATACATAAAATATTAAAATTATTTAAAAATAAAATAAAAAACCTTTAAATTATGCTAATATAATAAAAAATATCTAAAAACAAAAATGCATAATATATAATTTTTTTTCATAAAAAATATTCTGGAAGCTGTTTTTTCTAAGGTATATTTTTATTGTCCTAAAAATATTTAAATAAATAAAAAATAAATATTAAAATAAAACTTAAGGAGCAGCTTCAAAAGTTTTAAAGGTTTTTTATAAATTTTCATCTAATTCTAAAATAGCTGCAATATTACCACATCTAAAAAAAGTAAATAAAAAAAATGCAAAAAAGTTATACCTATAACAATAATTAGGAGCAGACCAGATAGTAGATAATTAATCGTCAAACATATTTCTATATCCTTCCATTATTAACTAATGGGATCTACTTATCATTTCAATATTATTATTTCTATTAAATTCATCTACTACATCTAATCCAAATAAGTATCCAGCACCTCTAGGGCTTACTGCCCAACCCTCAATCTCTTTCAAAAGAAAATACGTTAAAAGTTTATAATTATTTATATTTATATACCATCAGGATCACTCCACATCAGATCACACATTGCCCCGTCATGAGGAACTTCTTGTTTTCTATCAATTTAAACAATCTGTTATTAATTTTTTTTTAAAAAAAAATATTTATTATTAATTTTAAGTCCTTTTTTAATATTTTGGATTTTTAAAACCATTATAATTTACTAAAAATAATTAAAAAGAACATATTTTCAACAAGAATATATTATTTTTTTATTTTTTCTGTATTTTATTTAAAAAACTCAATCAATGAAGTTATAAAATTAGTAATAATCTTTTTTTTTTTTTTATTGAGTTTTAAAAAACAATTGCAGAAAAAAATCAATAATCAATCAAGATTTATTTAAATTATCATTTTTAATTAATTATATATATAAAGTCTTTAAAAACGCAAAATATTTTAGAAAAAAAGGCCTTAATCTAGAATTTAGAGTATGTTTTTACCTCATTTAATGTTTTTATTGATGGCGAAAGTCCTCCGTGTACACTATAAAATTTATCATCTATTATTGCTGAAAGTGTTAAATAGTCAAATATTCAGTACAATATCTCCATACGTTCAATGAACCGTATTTTCTTAAACATTCATCATAAAACCCATATACTTATGTGATTTATCTTGATTCATGATTTCCTCTTACAAGAGTAATTCTATCAGGATACCTAGTCTGTTTTATTTGTTTATTATTTTTTTATTTTTATTTTTTTGAATTACTTTTAATGCTAATAATAATAAAAAACTTTCAACTGAATGATATCCTCTATCTACAAAATCTCCTAAAAACAAATAATTTGTATCTGGGCATTAACCTCCTACTGTAAAAAGTTCAATTAAATCATAAAATTAACCATGAATATCTCCACATATCTTAAATATTAATTTTTTTATTGATAAACTAAATGATGTTTATAATTTTTTATATTAGCATTTTAATTTTATATTAAATTTAATATGCTTTTTTTGTTTACCGTAACCGGAGAATCAACTCTTTATAGATTACTTTCTTCAACTAAAATTTCCCTTGCTTAATTACATAAATTTTTTACTTGGTTTTCTTTTATTATATCGCATTTTTTTAATGTTTCTATAATTTAGTCTAATTCACTAGACATTTATGATTTATTAAAAATTTAAAATTTTAAATATACTTATATTTTTTAATAATTAAATTAAATATATTTAACTATATTATAAAAAGAATAAATATTATTTAGAATTTTTAATTTAAAATTTATAATTTATTTTTTCTTCATATAATATTTTAATTAAATATTATTTTTTATTTTAATTTCTTCATTTTTATATTATTATTTATATATTTTCTTAGGTATTTTAATTTTTATATTCAGATTAAATATTTTATTTAAATTATTCGTCATACAAAATCTTTTAAATTATATATAAAAAAAATTAATAATAATATTTTAAAATATATATAACTCTTTAAATATAAAAATAAAATACGCATTAAAAATACATTATATATTTATATTTAATTTTTTTTTTTATATCAGTAATTTCGTAACATTAGGAACACAAATATAATTACATATAAATATAAAGATATTTTTATCAATTTCTTTATTAAAAAGTAAAATAAAAAACTTTTAAAAAAAATCAACCATTAAATAAAAATTCAATATTACATGTATAAAAATCAACTGGAAATCCATTATAATATTTTTCTTAACTATTTAATGACCTATATATGAAGGTGTTCCAAAAAAATATGGTTATTTACAATCATTAGGTTAAAAAATATCAAAATTTAAATCAAAAATTTTAATGTTTTATTTTTACCAATTAAAATATTTTTAATTTTATTATTTCTATGAGTAATATTTATATAATTTAAATACTTAATACATTCTAAAACTTGTTTAGATATTATTTTAACATAATTTTCAGCCGAATTTGTGTCAATAAAATAAATTTTAAAGTTTAACTATTATTTATATAAAATAGGATATATTTAAATTACTTAATTAAGTAATTTAATAACCTGATATAATATATTAATCAATATTTAATTTCTATATTTATTTTTTAATTTAATTATAAATAGATTTTTCATAATTTTTTGTTTTAATTTTCTTATTATTTATTTTATTAAACATTTTCAAAAGAATATCTTCCTATTTCTTCACATATTTAGTAAGTATTTAAATATTTATTATATTTAGAATTTTTTATACTGTTTTATTAAGACTTTATGCTTTTTTTTAGATGCTATTATTTTATAGAATAAAATTTTATTAGTATATATTTTAAAAAAAAAAAATTATTTTTTTATATGCCATTGATATAAAGTTTGGAATTTTTTCCTATCTCTAAAAATATGTTTTATCATGTAGGTTTTCTATTGTTTTATTATTTATTTAAAAAATTTATATTTCTTTTTTTTTGCCTATTTCTTAGATTTTTAAATTACAAAATCGATATTTAATAATCCAGTATTCTTTTCTGTTTTTAGATTAGATTTATTATGTTAATTTGGAGAGTTATTTTATGATTGTATGAATACAATGATTTTGTTTTTTATTATTAAATTTAGGATTTGTTTTATTTTAAGTAATTATTTTTACTAACATAAAATATTTAAAATTAATAAGAATTGCGTTTTAAATATATTAAATATGTATTTTAATACATACATTTTAATTAATTATTGTTTTGATAATTAATACTATTATTATTAAAATTTAAAATATCAATATCTTGCTGATAAATTCAAATTTTCTTAAATAAAAATGATTTTGTTCTTATAAGTATTATTACTATTAAATAATTCATTTATGATTTATGTTAAGTCTTTTTTATATTTATTGAATATAATATACATATTATGTATGTTTATTTTGCTTTATATATGTAATTAAATAGTTTGATGTTTATTATTTACTTTGTTATTTTATAACTTTAATTTATATATATATTCATTAAAGTTTATTATGTATTTTAATTACATTTTTTATACAATAATTATGTTTTAACTATTTATCATACTATTTAAATATGAAACAATTATTTTTATCCCTATAGACTATTTACAAAAAATTATATTTATTTCAAAAATAATTTTATATTTGAATTTACGTTTAAATGAAGAGTTGATATTTTATTTTATTATTATTTTTATTCATTTATATTATAGTTGTTAAAAATAATTAAATATAATTAAAAATTTAAAAATTATAAAAATATTTATATTTAAATAAGTATACAAAAAAATTTATATTTCATAAAATTTAAAAATTATAAAAATAAATTATATAAAAAATTTAAATTAGATACTGATAAGTAGCCAATATTTTTTAAAAATAATTAGGATAATATTTTATATGTATATATAAAAAAAAATATCCATCATATATATTTAATCATAAAAAATTAAATTTTGAATTTTTTTATTCATATATTTTTTTCTTTTTCTCATTTATAAATAATTATCATTTTATATATTATATTGAAGTAATTTATAATACTTTATTGTTTTTATTGTTATTATTATAAAATTAGTATATATTATTATTAACAAAATTTAGTTAATAAATTTAATATTATAACTTAAATTATTAGAAATTTATTTCATAAAAAATACATTTAAATTCTAAAAAAACATATATTATATTTTTTTAAAATAAAAATATTCATCATATTATTTTTTTTATTATCAAATTTTTTCTAATTTCGCCTTCTATACAAGCGGATTTGCTAATTAAAGCATTTATTTTCCATGAGTTTAATAATCAAAAGTACAAGCATGATCTTCTGGCATTCTATGTTTATTACAGAAAATATATAAACATTTACATTTAATCCCTAATAATCCAATTTTTTTTAGCATGTCTAACATTTTGTATGATTTATTATTTTTAATTAGCTTTTTTCGCATTTTTCATTGCTGTTATTTTTTTCTTTGATATATATTTTATACATGAAACTTTTTTATTTTCTTCATTTGTGTTTTCTTATTGTTATATATTGGTTTTTTATAAGTCTTTATCACTTTAAGAAATAACTTGTATATTAGATTAAATTATTTACTAAGAATTTACGTTCATTATTTTAAATTTGTCTCTAATAATAATAATATTAATTATAATTATTTATTTTTTAAAAAATATAAATTTTTACTTATAACAACTAGAACATAAATATTCATTTACTGGGCTTCCATAAAATTATTAACAGACTACACATAATTTTTAAGATGTGTTTTATGTATTACTCATTTATTAATTTATATATATTTATTATTGTTTAAATTTTTTTTTTTTTTTCAAGAATATAGTAAATATAAAACTAATAAAAAAAAATTTAAATTAATTTTCAACTTTTTTTTTCAATTATTTCTTTAAAAAAAAAAAAAAAATTTCTATTTATTATTTATTTAATTTTTTTTAAAAATAAATTCAAATATAAAAGTTATTTGATAAAAATAAAAACTAAAGTATAATTTTTTAATACCATAATAATTTTCAAAACCTTTAATAAAAAAGCATATGAAATATTAGAAATATAAAAAATTTATTAAGATTTAGAAAAATTTTTTAAGCCATATTTTGTAAAAAAAAATATTTTTTTAAACTTGCTAATATATTATTTATTATCTTAAAAATACATTTTTAAAAATTGTAAAGTAAAAACAGGATTTTATAATAGTTTTATCAAAAAAAGATATTTATTTTTTATTAAACAAACTGCGTGATTATAATATTAATTTAGATAAAATAATATAAATATCTGATTTAATTAAATATTTTTGTTGAAATATAATTTATTATATATTTTTATTTTTAGCTATCATAATATTTTTAATATTTCTTATAAAAAATATATTTTCTATATGACAAATAATATTTAATAAAAATTTATTTATAATTATTAAATTGATTTAAATTTTTTATTATATCAAAAAATTATAAATAGATATATAATACATTTTATAAGAATAATAAAATATTAAAGATATATTTTATATGTAATTAATAGAAAAATTAATATATAATTTTTATAATTAAAATAAAAATTTTTTATATTGAAATACGATATAAATGAATATATTATTTATTAATTTATAATAATATTATTGTAAAATATTCGTAAATATAAATTTAATTTATTTTTATAATATTATAAATAAAAATAATAAATAAATAAAATTTATTTTTAAATATTTTAAATAATTAATATTCTAAATATATAAATTATTTTATTATATAAATAAAAATAAATAAATACTTATTTTTAAATATATAATTAAAAATTATTATATTTTTTTTTAAAAAAAAAATATTTTATATATAAAATATTTTTTAATATTTAGATATTTTTAATAATATATTTTTATATATTATTTATTATTCTTATATAAAATTATTATAATTTTTATTTATAATTTTTTTTTTTAATTTTTATCGAAATAACTTAAATTCTATCAATTTATCGTTTATATATATATAACTTCTTCTGATTTTTATTTTGTTTTTTCTTTGTTTTTTTCAAAACTCAATCATAAAAAATCTCAAATTTACATTTTTTTTCGTATTTTATTTTTTGATTTAGTTTTTTATTTAAAAATATACAAAAATAAATATGATAGTATATTTTATTTTTTATTCTTCCTTTCAGATAATTAATGATTTACTAACTATTTATTCAATTTTAGGTTTTATAAATATTATAGCTAAGTATCATTTATATTTATAAAATTAATTATTACAAATTTATGTTATTATAATTTTTTTTATTTATCAAAAAAAATTAATTAATAGTCTATATTTAAATAATATAAATTATTTTATTTAAGTTTTATTTAAAATATTTGTTCTAAAACGAAAAAGAATAATATAAAATATATATATATATAATTATTTATAAATTGTGAAAATAATAATTTTAATTATATTAAATAATTAATTATATATAATAATTTAGACACAATTTTTTTTAATATTTTCTAATATTCAAAATATGATTTTTCAAATAGATATTTATAATAATCTTAATTTATTTATATTCAAAATGTTAAAAACATAATTTCAAAATTTATATATGCCTAATAAAATTATAAAATGGATTAAAATAAATATTATTTAAATAATTCTAAAAATATATTATAAAAAGTAAAATAGAATAAATATATATAATTTTTTTCCCTATAATAAATTTAAAGGAAATAAAAAATATTATTTTAAATATTAGAATTATAAATTATATTATTATAATTTATATTTTCTTGTATATATTTGCTATAAATTTTAAAAAATAATAAATAATATTTATAAAAATTAAATTAAATAATAATTATTAAAAAAAAAAAATGGGAAAAAAAGATCAAACTAAAAAGAAAGATTAAGAAACTACAGCTACAGATAAAGGTTAAGGCAAGACAACTGGAACAGATTAAAAGAGTGAACCTGCTAAGAAAGATGAAAAGAAGAAAAAATGATTTAAAATAATAAGTTTTATAAACAAATTATAAATAAATAATCACATATTAAATATTATATTTTATTAAAGTCTGTATTTGTCAAACTCAATAAAATACATATATATTTTAAAAAAATAAAATAAAAAAATATTAATATATTTAATAGACACAATTTTTTTTTTTATTATTTTAAAAATAAATTGTTCTTTTTTTTGTCAAGATTATTTTAATTATTTCTATTTATCTGTTTAATGTAAATATTACATATATTTACATTTTTTATTTCTAAAAATATTTAAATTAAGAACATAATAAATATTAAATTTTTCTATATTATAAAAAAAAAATTATAATTTATTATATATTTAAAAATTATTATTTTTTTATTATATTTTTATTTTTAATAAAGTATTTTTAAATTAATTATTTTTTATATATTAAAATATAATTATTTTCTTTTAATATTAAGATAAATGCTATATTTGATATAGATTAATTTTTATATATAAATATATTTTTTATTCATTTTTAAATTAAAATACATATTTATATTGATTTTTTTTATTTATATGATTATTTTGAAAATCAATTGAAAAAAGGTGAGAATTTTTTTTAATGTTGATTGAGATTATAAAATAAAAATATAAATATACATATACAATTTTAATATTTTTAATTTAATTTTTTATTTAAAAACTAAATAACAAAAAAAAATTAGAAAAATAACAAATAATCAACATTTTTTCTTATATTGATTAATTATTTAAAAAAATAAAAAACCAATATATTAATTTTTATATATATATATATATATATAATAAAATATGTAATAAATTTTATATTATATTTTAATTTCTTACTTCTAACAAAAAATATTTGTTTTGATTCTTTACAATAATAAATGCTTTACATTTCATTATTTTATTATTTCAGAAAAAAAAAAAAAATATTATTTATATTTAATAAATCTAAAAAAATATTATAATTTAAAAATGTTTAATTTTTTTTAAAAATGTATAATTTTTTATATTAGTATATCTTTTTAATTATTTTTTTTTAAAAAAAAATAGAAAATAAATACGAAAATAAAATAATATAAATAAATGAAAATCCTTTAGGAAATGTAAAAAACGAATAATTTTTTAAAAAAATTTCATAAATTTAACAAAAAAACATTTATTAATTTTCCCAAACCTAAAATAATAAATAAATGATGATATAAAACTACAAAAATTAAATTAATTTTAGAATTTCATTCATATTAAAAAGCAGTTTAAGTAAATAATTTTTAATATTTTTTAAAAAAATGTATAATTTAATAGGAGATATATATATTGGCTTAATAAAATATCAATATACCTTATGATAATGTCCTTAAATAATTTATAAAGCATTAAGAATATCAAAATGCGAATAAAATATTTTAAATATTGGATAATTAAAATGTAAAATTGAGTGATATAGCCTATGTATATTTAATTGATGCTAATTTAAAAACTTAAGATTTAATTAATGCATAAAATATAGCAATTTAAGCTTATTTATAAAATATAATTCTTGATATAGAAGTATATATTTCGATTTTTAATTCTATATTATCATCATAAAACAAATCATTTTTGGAAATATTTTATAAAATGTTTAGAAGAGATTTTAATTTAAGTACGAAAATGTAAAAAAATAAATATATTGTATTTATAAATTTAATAAAATTGAATAAAAGAGTAAATGTATTAATACAAGTTGGTGAAAGATTAAAACATTATGAATTTCTTGAAAAACTAAAAGCCGATTGTCAACAATAGGAAATAAACTATTCTTTTTGTAGAAATTTGAATGAAAACCAAGCGACGACTAGTGCGAGAAAATAAAATTATTTAAAAAATGTAGAATATGATGAAAAATATATTAAAAATTTAGGATAATCATAAATTATTAGTAAATCTGATCTTTAAAGATTTGATAAAGATGCTTATGACATAATTAAAAAATAAGGTCTTTCAGAATTACTAAATATTAAAAATACATCTCCTGTTTTTATTATTAGAAATAATTAAGATGATTATTCAGGTTAATTTATTTTTAATCTATTATTTTTTTAAGGTATTTTTTTTTTAGATGAAGAGGAAAATTACGGATCTAATGAAGAAGAAGAAGAATATGATTTACTTGATTATTCTGAAGAAGAATATGATTGAGTTTTATGGTAATATTATATTATTTATATGAAAAAAAAAAATGATAAAAATATTTTTATTTATTTTAATCAGTAATATATAATTTATATAAATAATAATTATTTGTTTTTTATTTTATAATTTTTTGTGTAAAAAATTAGCTTTTATATAAATTTATTAATATTTTATTTTTATTAAATTCTTTTTAAATTATATTTATTAATTTTAAAATAATCATATTTATATGAAATTAACATAAATTAAACATTATTTAATATGAAAATTATATTTAAGAATATTTATAACTAAAGTTTTTAGAATATAAAAAATATTATCTTATTACTTGTTAATATTAATATTTATATTCAAAAAGTATTCTTTAATATATGATTCATTATTTTATTTATAGAAAATTTAAAAAAAAAAAAAAATCTAAATTTTAAATATATTGGTTATAATATTATATTATTTTTTATTTTTATTGTAATTATCTTTTTAAAACTCTATTTAAAAAAAAGGAGTAAAATAATGAATAATCTCATTTTAATTTTGTTAATTGAGTTTTTAAGAAATAATTACTGAAATATAAAAAAAGCGATTTCAATAATTATGATTTTATTATTTAAATTTAACGTAAAAAATACCTTTATACTTATTTAAAAATATTATATATTATTTTAATGCTTAAATTTACCATTATTTTATATTTTATATTATAATTAAAATAATTAATAAATAAAGTGAGAATATAAAATTAATAAAATGGATTAATAAGTAGAAGTAAAAAAAGAAAAATAACTCAGCATATTTGATGATAATGAGCTAAATTTAATTCTGAAATAAAAAAAAGAAGTTCATAAAAAGATTTTTATTGATAGTGAAAAACAAAATAAGATTTATTAATAAAAAAAAAAATAAGTAAAGAATGAACTTAATAATCGAACTAAAGAAACTAATGAATAATTAATATATCAAGATGTAAAATAATTAAAATAACTGATGGCAAAATGTAACCAAAAAGATATAAACTCATTTAAACTCTCTAAACCAGCATTAGAAAAAGTATAAAATGTTGATGAAATTTTAAAAAAACTTTGTGGAGTAAATAAATATTTTATTTTATACTATATATGTGTATAAAAAGAAACAAAATAAAAAATAATTAAGGATAATATTCAAAAAGAATTCTTAAATCAAAATGGACTTGATTTTGTTTGCGATTGGATTAAAGAAATCCCAAACGGACCTGAACCTCCTGTTTCTTTGAAGCTAAAGCTTCTATAATTTACTTTGGATTTACCTGTTAAAAGATAGCACTTAGAAGGGATTAAATTAGGAAAAGTTATTTATAAAATTTTTAGCAAAAGTAATTTTTTAATATAATATGTGTAATAAATAAATCATAATTAATTAATATTAAAAAAATTATTAAGACTTTCATATATTTAAAAAATAACATATTTATTAAAAGGTGTTATCAAAAATGAAAAATAAATTAGTTGCCAAATAATATAAAAATGGAGTTAAATATTGAACCAAAAATAAAGATATGAATATTAATAAAATGGCTGAAATCGAATATATATATATATATATATATAAATCAAATACTAAAATTTAATTTCTATTTAAAAAAAATTATAAAAATAAATAATTATTAATTTATTATGTTTGTTTGATAATTGTTAAATGAAATAAAACTTTAAATATTCTCATAGTGTATATCTACTATTAGGAAGTATATTTTTTCCACCTTAGCGTGCAATATAATAATAATCAGTATTTTTAGACGTGAAAATATAACTAAGTATAACTAAAGCAATTTAATGAGTTATAATAATTCCAATATTAATAATTTTTTATTATAAGTAAGGAGGTGCTATAAAGCATAAAAAAATCAACAAAGGGAATGCTAAGAAATAAAAAGATCCGAATACACCAAATTTAATTATAAAATGTTTTACTTTATCTTTACTTTTAGTAATAGTATCATATAAACTATAATAAAAATATAAAGTAAGAATAACTCTTATTACAAGTATTGCTATACCGACCCATCCATCATAAGTATGATATTTATAATGTTCATCATCATTTAATTTACCTAATCCAGCGACCATAAGTTAAAACATTCCCATTATTATTGCCAACGGAATTATCAAATCAAAATCTTCCATTTAAATATAAGATATTGTCCATCCCCATGACATTAATATAATCAAAATAATAATCATAAACTGTGAAAAATTACTACAAAGTAACCCAAAAAGGTCCAAAATTGCAAAAGAATTTCCTCTATATCCATAATCTAGCCAATATATGAAAAAAAAAATATAAGAAAATACCCAAGCTCCTATGGCAATTATTAGCATTAAAAGTGCAGCATTTGTTTCTTCATTTTGCTTTGCAAGTATTTTTAAATGCTTTATGTTATAAAAAAATAGGAATCCTGAAAACACTGAAATTAGTAAATAAAATATAGTATAATTTCCATCTTCAAATGAAAAATGTGACTCGTCGCTATTTAAAATCGTTAACTCTAAAACTATTTTATTATTATTTATTGTACTTAAATTTTCATCGCAATCATTTAATGAAAAATACCATACATGTTCTCTTTTTCTTTGTTATAAATCGCCTTTTTAATTATTTATTATATTATATTTTACTTTAGTTTTATTTATACTTATTACCTTTTATATAAGGACTAAATTATCCATTTATTGGGATATGAAGTAATCTTCTTTCTCTTGCAGATTATTTTATTAAAGAGCAGTCTTTTTCATCATATATCTTTGACCATACATCATCTTGGTATATTGCAAAGTTAATTTGGAGATTTTCTTTAAGGTCTGGTGTACCAGTTACTGGATTTTCGAATTTAGCACGGATTTAATATGTACCTTTTCCGATTGACATTGCAAATTTGGTTATATAATAAAGGTTATTGTTATTTCTGATTTTATATAAACGTACTTTTTATGAAATGAATTTTGTTTTTGTTATATTTATTAAAATGTATAAAATTAGTATGTAAAATAAAAACTTTTATTTCATTTTTTTTTTTTTTTTTTTTTTTTTCAATATATCATTATTTTTAATTTATTTTTAGAATCAAATAAATATAGAAAATCTTTCTCTTTTTCTTTTATTTCATATATACTTATTGATGGCAAAAATACTTCTCCACATTATAAAGGTAATAGTTTAAAACCTAATTCTTATATTTAATTTTTTTCTATATTCACAAAAGATACTTGCATTCCGCTAATGAAAAAATAATCTTCCTCGTTTTCATTAATTATATTTATTTTTAAATTTCCAGGTTCATTTTTCAAAGATTTTATTTGTAATAATATTTCTGTGATTTCACCTTTTTTAATTAATAAATTTGTTTTTTTTATAATATTTTATTGTATTAATAAATATATATATATATACCTATCTTTATTACTTTTTAGTATTTTATATTGAATATATACTCTTCAGACTATATTGTTATTTTTTAAAGTTAAAATAAATATTATGATGTATTTTTTTCGTTAAAGTGAACTACAATATTACCGGGATTAAAATTATTTTTGCATTTAATTGTTTTAAAATAGAAATTTGTTGAAAAAATATCATTTTATTTTAAAATTTAGTCGCAGTTTAATTCTAAGTTTTTCATTATTTAAAAACATTAATTATCTTTTAAATTAAATTCGATTTTTTTAAGATAAAATTCCGCTATTTTCATTGTTTAATAATAAAAAAAATTTATAAATATATATTTTTTTAATACCTTCAGCTTACATTTGTATATTCAAATTGCAAATATTATTTAAAGGTAAAACATTTATTTATTAATTTTTATTAAAATTTAATTTATTACAAGTTATCCATTATTATATTAAACGAAAAGGAAATATTGATTATATTAAAACCTTTTTTTCAAATAAAATTTCTTACTCGGAATTTTTTAAGAAAAAAATAATTTCATATGTACCCGCTTTACTTATATTCACTTTAAAATTATACTCTTGTTTTTCTTAATTTATTAGAATTTCTTAATTACTTATTTCTTTTTTACAATTTTCATTTGAAAATTAAAATATTTATATTTTTTAGTCTTGAGTTTACATTAAAAGATAGTTTTAAGTGTTTTAAATATGATTGTTAATTATTTGCATTGAAAAATCTTCTAATGAATTCACAAAAATACTATCTTTTATATTAATTTTTAATTAAATAACATTTTTTTTGTTGTTTAAATTTTATAGGAATATATAATTTTCGTAAACTATTTTTTTTTTTTTTTTTTTAGATAATAAATAGTAAATTTATAATAAAAATATAAATTACTGTATTTTAATGCATTTTTATCTAAAATAAAAATTATTTTCAAGTTATTTCCGTTTTGATTTAATATAGAACCCTCTAAAATTACATTTTTTATAAAAAGTTTGTTTTTTTTTGCATTAGTTTTCTATGATATTTAACAAGTATTTTATAAGATTTGAGTTTCAAAATTAAATTGTTCTTAATTAAATACAAACTAAGCCTTTTTTATGAAGTCAAATTTCTAATATATAGAATTAAAATTAAAATTAAATTCGAAATTCTAATCATTTTATATATAGTTTAATTATTTGTTTTGTATATTTATTTAAAATTCAAATAATTTATTTTAATTGGGTATATTTATTGCTATTATTTCATTTTATATTGAAAAATTAAATGCTTTATATAATGAACAAATCTACTCTTATTTATCTTTTTCAGATTAATTTTTAAAGAGTAAATTTTTCAAAGTTATCTCTATAAATTCTTTCTATTAATTTTAATTTAAAAGATTTAAATATTTATCTAATAAACCTATTTATTTGGAATTTATAATATATTAAATATATCAATTATTAATATATAAAAATATTAATTACTCTCACTAATTCCATTATATTGAAAGCTATTTATGAAAGGAAGAATTTCTTAAAGTTCTGTTTAAAAGGCTTCATGATTTTTTAATAAAAATAAATTTTCTAATTTATGGCATTTTAAAATGAGTTTCTATTTATCATTTATTTAATTGAAAAATATGTTTTAGGTTAAATTAATTATTTTTTCATTTTATTAAAGTATTTAATTAAATACAGTTTAACTTGCTTACTATATTTTGCATGTTTTTACCATTCTAATAAGTTATTATTTATTGAATTTTTAACCTAAAGTTAGATAATTTAATTTTCCAAAATAAATTTATTCATCTTAAGTTATGTATATACTTTTTTCTTAATTTAATTAAATTGGATATTATATAAAAATCTTATATAAATAAAAGCTATATTAAATAAAGGCCTTTTATATATATATATATATATATATATATATATATATATATATATATATATATAAATAATAGTTTTTACTAAAAATAAATTATATAGTTATGTTAATGTTATATCATATTAAATATAAAATTGCATTATTTCAATAAATTATGAAAAAAGTTGAATTCTCCAAGAATATTCTTCATATTAACCTAAAAATGATTCAAAATAATCAATTATAAGTTTAAATTCTTTAAAATGTATTTCAAAAAGATTAATAGTTTATTTATATTAATTATTTTTTAACATTATTAGAGAAATTCTAAAAATTAATATATCAGATAACTGCAAATAAAAATATATATAATAATTATATTATAAATATAAATTATAATTAAATATATATATATATATATATATATATATATATATATATATATATATATATATAAATTTTTATTTTTTATATATAATTACTTACATATCTTATTTATTCCATCATTTATATTATATCGTATGTTAAATCTATTGAATCTTAGTTAGCTGGGTTTATTTCTTTATTTAATTAAAGCTTATAAAAATATATTTATTTTATGCATTCTTCATATGAATTTTCGTACATTTTTTATGCACTTTCATTGTTTTAAAGCATTTCTTAATAAAATGCTATCTTTAAAGGCCTTGAAATTTTATAATTACATATAATTTCTGTATTTTTTTATAGCTTTTGCTTCTCCTTTTTTATCTTTTCTTTATAATATGCTGTTGATATTTCAATTATTTGTTTTTTTATCTTTTAAATTTATGATTCATAAGTATTTTAAATTATGTATATAAACTTTCGATTTATATTTATCTTAAATTTTAGTTGATACTCAAAAAAATTTTCGAAAAAATTTAAAACTATTAATATTGTAGTTTCCTATGAATATGTACTTTACAATAATTCATATACTTTTTATAGTTCTATAGAATTTTCTTATAAATCGTCCTTAATGTCCTTTAAAATTACTATTAACGAAGGTATTTCTTCGGTTATTTTATTAATTATATTATTTTTCAATATTCCTTTTTCTTAAAATATTGCTTGTTGGTTTGAAATAGATTTTCTTTTTAAAATTGGTATTACTTTTGTATGTTTTAATTCAATACTTTTTTAATATATTTTATAGAATATATTTTTTTTTAATTGGAATTTATTTCTTTTACTTACAAAATTAAGGTTCACTTTAATAAAATGCATTTTTAAATTAAATAAAATTATCTTAATCTCCTATTATTTATATTTGTTGTTTAAATTCGGTAATAAATTTTTTGTACATTAATATTATTTTTATAAATGTAAAAAATAAAATTTATATATTTTTTAAAAATAAATTTTTTTATTATATATTTATAAAAATATGCTTATCTTACTTTCCTAATATACATATAATCTTTTAATTTTTAATTTATTTTGTCAAAAATAAAAATTATGTATATAGAAACATATAAAATATCTTTTATATTTATGATTTTTATTATAAAAAAATATATAATTCTTATATAAATGCAATATGATTTTTTTAATAATAAAAATTATGAATCGTACTAAATAATTATTTATTTATTATTATTATATTTATATATAGCTAAATTAAATAAGTTATTTATTTACGTTTTTTTTTTTATTCATAAAATCTAAAATTAATTTAAATATATAATTTGCTAAAAATCAAAAAAATAAATATTAATTAATAATTTTTGAAAATGGATATATTTTAAAATATAGAAAACATTGATATAAATCAATTAAAGTATTTATTTTAAATTAAAAATTAAATAAATAAATATTAGTAATATCTTTAAGAAACGGACAAAAGAAGAAATAAAATAACTACTTACATAGAAAAATACTGAAGATCAAACACCTCTTCATTTTGCTTGTAAATTAGGTTTTGCGAAGATAATATTATAAATTTTATCATAATTGGAATAGTTAAATGTAAAAAATAGATAAATAAAGTATATATATATATATATATAAAAAAAAATAGATTTTAGAATAAGTTATAAACTTAGAAGATAAAAATGGATAAACTCCATTAATATTAACTATATATTCAACAGATGATGGGCTTCCTGATATATTTAGTGCATTAATAAAAAACAATGCGGATCCTAATAAGTGCGATACATAAGGTAATTCACCTTTACATCATGTAGCATTAATGGGTTAAGAGGAATGTTGTTAAATATTATTAGAAGGAACAAAACATACAGACATAAATAAATAAAATAATAAAAAATGTAAATAATAAAAATAAATTTTATTTTATTTAAAAAAAAAAGAAAATGCAATAATGTTAAGTATTTTAGAAGGATAATTTAATATATTCAATATTCTATTGAATTAAGATAAAATAAATATTTATTAATAAGATGAAGAAGGAAAGTATGCGATTCATTATGCAGCAATAACTAAAGGAAATACCTAGGCATATATAAAGGCATTATTTTTTAAAAAATGTAGTTTAGACTTGTAGGATTTTAAAGGAAATTGTCCTCTTGTTTTAGCGATTTTAAATTCTTTATAAAAAAATCAGAGATCTGTAGAAATTTTAGTTTAAT